TCGTCGGTTGACGTGTGCCTGTTTCCGCGGAACCTTTTGGCTCCAGAGCCAAAGCACGAGTGCCCGCAAGCTGCCAAGACCTGGTAACCATGGAGACTTTGCTGCACCCAAGTTTCTGAATGATTTCCGAGCCGTTTTCCCGAGCTCTGCAGCCGAGGCCCGTCAGAGCCAGATGCGTCGGCGTTCCCCCCTCCTGGCCGCCCTGGCGACCGGCCTTGTGTGTCTGGGATGGCAAAAGTAAGCAGGCCTGCATGTGGCTACGATGCAAGTCCGCACTTTGAGCTACTTACTTACAGGTGGGGATCTTGCCAATGGACTTTCGCCAGCCCATCAGCTGGTGTTCAGCATGAGAGCTCGACCGCCTTGACGAGATCTTCTGGGGCAAGGACGGGGGGTGGCCTATCTGGGGTGCCATTAGTACAGTGCGGCTCCCAGGACAGCTTGGGCGACGGGGAGCCTGCCCCGTGACCATTCCTCCGTTGCAACCGCAGCAGCAGCCGCGGCAGCTCCCAACTTCTTCAGCAAGGTGTCGTCATAGCCCATGAGGGCAGGTTTCCGTCAAAGCCAGCCGATCAGCTGCGAGCAGGTGTTTGCTGCCGGTGCTCAGGGCGCCACAGTGCCTCGGCTGCAGTGCAGCGTACATCAGGAGGGCTGGCCCTCCATTTTGTCCACGAGCAAGCTCGCTTGCGTGGGTGTCGCCTGACTTGAAGCGCCCCTGAGGCCGCATTCGTGGCGGCAATTCTGTCTGCCATCTGCGAGCCGCTCGCGACTTGGCCCACATTGAGGCGTTGAGGCACACTCTGACAGGCCTCTTGCTTCCACTACCTCGCAGATCTGCAGGTGAACCGCCTGTTGGTGAAGCGAATGACGATCTCCGAGGCCAGGCAGTGAAGTTGCGCCATGCTGCACTTCCATCCTCCCACCGAGAAAGCGGGTGGCGGCACAACAGTGGATACCAGGCGCTGAAGGAGATGAACTTCAAGCTCATCTCCAACTTCTTTCTTACGACTTTCCCTACCAACATGTGCCTTGCCTGCCGTTTAGGCGGCAGAAACCGGAATAATGGTGC